ACCTCGATTAGGGACGTCAACATTGACGTGGACTGCTGTCTATAATTTTGGCTTGCAGACGACTGTCACCACATTCTGACTTCCATTTAGGGAACAATGAACACTGAGCAAACTAATTTATTTAAATGTGTGACAAAAAGGGTGCATCAGTGATTCAGTGGTAAAATGCTCGCTAACTAAGCACCTAGTTTGGGGTTCGATTCCCGGTCGATGTACTAATAAAACTTGACTAGTTTACCAGTTCAGAGTAAGTCCGCAAAAGACTGAAGATTGGGTGTACGGCTAACAAATCCACCCCATAAGAAGCAGCACAATGGTTACTGAGTCTTCAAAACTTGAAGCCCTAAGTCCTATATTCAAGTCGGAAGGCAGTGGACTGAGAAAAAACAGGTTTTCATGTATTCTAAATGTTCCTACAGTATCTCTTTTACAATCATTCATTTTATTTCTTTATGTTGGTCCATGCTAGTGAGAATGTTGTCGTCTTATAACCAGCTTAAAAAAATTCGTTTTCTCTCCTTCAGTCCTAAGTAGAATATAGGACTTCAAACTTTGAAGTTTTACTAGCAGTGATGTTTTGTTTTCTTTCGAGAAATATGCTTGCTAGCCTCATGGCCAAACGTCTCTTTCCCAGGTTTACTACTTGGTTAGGCGAGGTTTAGGAGTGTGTCGGCCGGGAATTGAACCCTGACATACTGAGTTCCATTGCTTATAATTTGAGGCAGTAGTACTTATACTTTGGATTTTCATAGTTTTCTCAGTCACACAAAAACAGTACAAATGGTAGAGAAGGAAGTGCATCGTCTCAGCAGCGATGTCAACTGGCCAATCAGCTACATCTATCATATGACTTCTAGCAATAATGCCCATAAGTCATAAGACATGTATAGAATAGGATTTGAGGGTATGACCCATTTGCTTGACAACAGTGTATCTATACATAACTTATACATCTATTAATTATAAATCATATCTAATAAATGAATGACGAATCAACGTAGAACGTTACTCAGACACGTGTGTCAGTCCACTTAATCATACTTAAACTTTAACCATAGTACAATGGAGCGACTACTTATAATTTGCTATTTTGCTATTATTTACTGTATAACACTGTGAGACTCTATCAAAATAAAAATTTACCCATAATGGAATTACACTCTACCACAGTGCCCAAGTTTTATTCTTATAACATGTATATTTCTCATAGATATGTGAAGAAACCAAGTCACCTGATTGGTTGTGGATATAAGCACCTACATATATATATATATATATATATATATATATATATTGGTTTTTACCTTCCCGAGGACCTCAACCAGGAAGTCTACACCTTCCTACGTGTCTTAGACTAACTGTTGTAGATTTCATTGACTGGTGCCATGTTTTCGTTTGACCACCGCTACCCCTTTACCAGCCTGACCCTATATCAGCTAACATGGCCCGTCGAGGAAAGCGATGACTAGGCATACGTAGCACATGTCCTAACCATCTCAGTCGATGTAAATTCACAGTCTCGTCGACTGACTTCCCCTCCTTACCTAGCAGTCGACTCCTAACCTCAATACTGCTCACCTTATCATACCACTTCACGCGGGAGATAGGACGCAGACACCTATGATCAAAGACAGCTAATCTTTTCAAGCCTTCTGCGCTCAATGGCCAGGTCTCACAGCCATAAAGGAGGACGGAGCGGACTGTTGAGCAGTACACACGCCCCTTGGTCGATAGTCGGATATCGCGTCTACGCCAGAGACGGCGTAAACTGGCATATGCGAAACTAGCCCTCTGTATTCGTGCTGAGAATAAAACATTATCAGGGTGAGGCGCGTGCAAATAACACACAGCCTTCTTCAAACCTTGCACACAACCATTAGGTCGCGTACTATCCGCGACCTAACGGCTTTTGTCAGTCGATCAGTAAATGATGTCTAATTTTCTGGACGACTGGTGATGATATCCTGATAAACTGGTGCATTTTTGTGTTAAGTCACATTATATTTTGACTTATCATAGAATACTGACAATAACTGCCTGGAGTTGACACGGGATGATGACCGATTGCGTCACTAGTCTTGTTTACAATGTAGATGTAATCAGTACAATGCCACCATAGCCGTCCACAGTCTCGTACACTGTTTAGTTGAACAACCAGTTTCAGTCTTTGATTACAGAACGACGTATGATTGTCGAAGATGCAGACAACTGGTTCTCCATATTTTCTGATAGACTGTTATTCAAAACGTCTAAATTCTTCATAAACAGAATATTTTTGACCTTCCAGTTTATAAAACCTCACCTCGTTTACGAGCTCGCTAGCTTTCTAGCCGGTCCCAAACTCGCGTGAAGAGTAAAGGTCGGACGTGGGGGGTAGCGATCCTACACCACCAAAACAATCAATCTGCTACACAAACTTCAGTGCACAGGAAAAATACAGAAAATATAACAAATCAGACTTAATTCTCTCTGGAATTAGAGAGGCGAAATGACATAGCAGGCTGGTGAAAGCCTTCGGGAAGCCAGTCAGTTGATGTGTCGTCTTCCAATAATGTCAAGAACAACAATGTGAGTGTGGAGTGTTCGTACAATGTACAAAGCTGGAAAGGCTGCCGAGTTAGCCAAAGAAATGAGGAGATAAGGTATAGAAGTGCTGGGAATTTGCGAGAGCAGATGAAATGGATGTGGATTGTCAAAATTGTCAACTGGAGAGTCAAAAATCTACTCCGATCTGTCATCCAGACGACGACTACGAGCACACTGAGTCAGTCAATAGCTATCATGATGTAACCAGTGGCAGCCAAAGCCCTAATACAGTAAGAACCAATCTCCTCCAGCAAGATCATGACAACAAGATTCAAATCAAAAGGAAGGTCACAATTATCCAATGCTACGGACAGTGCTACAAACAATGCGGAACGAGACAAGAAGGAAGAGTTTTACAGACAACTACAAACAGTAATGGACAACATTCCGAAAGCTGGCACAAAAATCCTCACAGGCGATATGAATGCTAGCCGAAATGGGAGCAAATTATATAGGAAGAGAACTCATCATCGATCGAGAGGCTCTGGGAGAAATGAATGAGAACGGAGAATTATCCGCAGAATTCTGCGCTTTCAATGATCTGGTGATCGGAGGCAGTGTGTACAAACACAAGGATATACTCACAGCAACATGGATTTCGCCTGAAGGAAATACCACAAACCAGATAGATTTCATCTCAACACTGTTCAAGGATGTGAAGACGCAGTCTTCTGGATACAAAGTCGACAAAGAGAGCAGATGTGGGCTCACACCGTCATCTAGTTTTAGGAACCTTCAAGGTGAAGATGAAATCCCTCAAAACAAATGGAGACAGGCCACAACTCAAGTTTGGCATTCAGAAACTGAACCACAAAACCACAGATCAGAGCAAAGTCGGAGACATATGATTATGAGCAATAATTTGTGCTCGATAAGTCATCAGTTAATATAACTGTACAACACTGTGTGATTTATGAAAATAAAATCTCATCTATAATGGAGTTATACTCTACTACTGTGCCCAAGTTTTATACTTACATCAAGAACAAATAGCACCAGTCATCATCAATGGGAGAAATTTGAAAGAGGTTACTTCCTTCAATTATCTCGGCAGCATTGTTTCAGTTACAGGTAGCCAGCACGCGTGAGGATGTGAATGCCAGCCAGAATTGGAAAGCCAAGACAAACCTTCATCACTCTGAAATCAGTTTGGACATCCTCCGCACTCAGCCAGCATAAAGAACAAGATTCGGATTTTCAACACCAATCTTAAGCCAGTCACTTCTTCTATATAGGTCAGAAACGTGGCCAGCGGATCACGAAAGCCAACTGCAGACATTTATCAACAACAGCTGCCTTCGCTGAATCCATATTAAAGATCAAATAGCCAGCGAGAAAGAATCAGCAACGAGAAATTATGGGGACAAACCAATCAAAAAAATCGATTGCTCAACGAATATGTGGGAGAAAATGAAGATGGACTGGACACACACTGAGGAGACCGTCGAATGACATCGCATGCCAAGTCATGGCTGCAGTGGAATCAGAATGGGGGAAACGACGATTCGGAGTGTGGTCAATGGTGACATGGAGGAGATTGGTGTTGTGAGGAGGAGATGAGAGATTATGGACGATTCGTGGACCTGCCTAAAGAGGATAGCAGAGAATAGGACAAAGTGGAGATGCGCTGTTGAAGCCCTGTATTCCACTCGGAACCAAAGGGAATAAAAAGAATAATAGTAAAATTCTTAAGCATGACACTGACGACACTTTGGCCGCAACCATTACGTACTGGTTCAAATAATTAACAGACACTTCTCTACTCTCATACAGGCTAATCTGGAATGAATTTTCAACGCACAAACATGCAATAAAGTGTAACACTTCAAAGTTGCCACTCTACACACGCACACACAAATAGAGCAAACACATACAGATACAGAAAGAAAAAATGTTACCAACAGTTTCAAGCCACTGGTGGTTACTAGCATCTCTGCACCTTCCTACATGGATTAAACGCATAGCCTAAAACTGCATGCATTGTTGCCATGTTTCGATTCGCTTTCCAACACAACCCGACGTCAACTAACATCAATCGACGAGGAGGAGCAATGGCTTGGTGTGCATGCGTAACATGTGCCCCTGCCATTTCAATCGATGCAGCTTCACAAACTGATTGATTAACTCTCCTACTCACATAACTTAAATATCTCCCACTATATTATACCGCTTAACACCCATCCTGCAAGTGTAACTCAACTTGAAAAAGGCTCTCTCTTCTAATCTAAAACGAAGATAAGCACATGGAGTCCAGAACATGACTGCGTTTACACAGTTGTCAATTTTAAACTATGATTTATACGTTTTGTTAGCCTCACAATCAACAATCCGCAAGTCTACACACACTTATGCCCCACTAATACAGATAAGTGCATCCGTGTATCACGTTTCGCGTTAAAAGAGGGGATTAGGTCAAAAAAAATGTGTAATGTTTTGTGATCATAACGTTATACTTTTATTTTACAATATGGCATAGGATAAGATGAATCTCAGAAAACCATAACTACATATCCGGTATTACCAATAATCGAAACTGGTAAATACCCAAAAATTGGTTTCCAATTTATGACCAGCCAAACATGTAGCCGAGTGCTTTGGATATTAATCCAGAATCCCTGTCCCGTCGAACCTACAGTAATGAAAAAAAAAACAAATTAAGGAATAAAGGGGTTTGTAAACAATTATATCAGTTAAGTATAATCTGAACGAGGTAAAATGTTAACTCAAGTAGTCACCGACAATTTCGGTCTGTATACAATCGCTGAGTTTCATTCTAAAAGGAATTGCTGATATGCAGTGCTTAGAATGCTTATTTCTTCCTAAGCTTCACTTGTTCATGTGTGTGCTGACGATGAGTCCCAAACGAAAATGAAACAGCTGTCCAGTCCACCCAGGTTCTCCAGTGGTTCTCTAACCGATGTCAGCTCATGATGAAATCCTGTAACCAGTCAAATCCCCGCAAACCAACACCTTGATAGTTAATCTAATTCTAACTAGCAACTGCCTGTATACAGAAAGTTACGTGGAGTTCTAGTGAGAAGTCGCAACCAGCGGAGTCCACCAAGTCAGGGAGGAGAACAGTTACTCGACCATGACATTGACTGGCGGTTGCGTTATAAACATCGTCAATTAGCAGAAGATGGAATTCATGGACTGACCATCGGATCAGGCAGGTGTCCCAGTGGCTTTATGGCCTACAACCTCACCTTGTAACCAGAAGGTCCTAGGTTCGAAACCCCATGGGTGAGTACTGTTGAAGAGTCCAGAACTAGGATGAGATACCAGTCCAGTACTCCCAGGTTCTTTAATGGTCCTCTAACTGATATCAATCCGTGACCAAAATTGATCACAAAGTTTATTATATTACTCTGCTCACGATTACTCCTACTAATACTACTAAAAATTTCTCATAGAAACATGCCTAGATACGCACTTCACTTACATCCTCATACCTCGTTGACTGGTAGATACTATGCACTTTCACTCAATTCCATAACAGGCTATAGAAGAAACTGCTATTTTTGGCACATTCAATAACTGCAACAATTATTCAGGCTTAGTGTAAGAGTAGAGTTTGGGTATCGTGGTAGAAAATAATCCAATATATCGGATGATTCGATCAGCAAAGATTCGGTGATTAAACTCTCCCTCCACTTAACTATGTTATTATATTGTGCCATGTACTACTAGCAAAATTTATCAATAGTATATAGATGCAGATTGATAGGAAGTAACCTAAATTGAAAAACAACATTTTGAAACAATAGCTACAGAAATAGAAGTGTTTATTTCTCAAATCTGCAACTCGCCTACGTTGTGGTCAGAAAACAACCTCAAGATTTAACCCCCAAAAAATCAACAACTAATCAGAACAACCTACTGTCAGTAGACAACTTCACGTCCCAAAAGTTTGACCTTCAGAAAACTAACAACCAATCAGAATAGTTTATTATCCGTTGATCTAGTCGACCATAAATATAGCTAAAAACGTATAAATACGGTGAGTCTCACTAACAAAAAGGTCCCTTACCAAGTCTTATCCGGTTACAGATTCATAGTCGCGGACACTGACGAAAGCTATGGCCTTTTTGACCTTCCCTCATTAAAATCACTGTGTGCATTTATACTAAACGAAATCCTTAAACTTTGGAGGGAAATAAAAATAATAACTAAGCAGATTGTGGGGAGTGGAAAGCGAAAAGGACATGAAATGAGAGTTGGTCAACTTACACTTGCTGTTCTTGATAGACTTGTTGGTCGATTAGATGCAGCCAACGATCGCATTGAATTATGTCTGCCAATGCTACTACCTACTGGTTTGTCTGTAAGCATATTATTGCCAGAATCCATTCCAGCATTTAATGATGGCGGCTTCAATCCATCCATATCTCTATTCGGAGTTCTATTCATTGTTCCAGTTGTTTTATTGTTAGCATCATCGATACCACGGCGAATATTGTTCATACTGTTGTTATTCGATGGACTAAGGAATACAGAATCATTTATATTACTAGTGTTTGTCTGTCTACAAAACACACCAGACTTTTCTCCATCTATTACTTGCTGTCGATGAACAAAAAGAAAGCAATAAACAATTAGAATTGCCAATCATCCCATTAGTGTAAAGCAACATGAGATGGTGGTAAATGGCTTGCAGTAGGAACTAAAATGCACCTTTCGTCTGATTCGGAGCTCATCAGCAGGATAATGTGACTGTATTCGCAGTGAATCATAACACTTTCCCCTCTCTCCCCCGCTGAGACTCGAACTTAGCATCCAACGTTTCAAGCACTACACATAGTTTTTCATTAGGCCACTGTATGGGGAGGGGCAGCAGTTATTAGCTGTTATTTGTTGTTTAACTTAGTTGTTGCATTTCCCGTGTTGATTGGTGACACTGGATCAGAGTGCTGAGTCTCTGTTGACATGTCGGTTTCTAGAGCAAAGTGATAGCAAACTCTGGTTCACCGTGTTAATCTTCAGATTCTGTTGGAGCGTCCATCGATAGTCATTGAGGATTTCAGTCTCATATAATCAATCAGTGGTCATGCCTCGGTGGTTCAGCAATACAATGCTTGCCAATCATTCCCACATGGTCCGGGCTTCGATTCCCAGACAGCCCACACATTTACCCCACCCTCGAACCCGGCTGTAAGCCCGACAAGGAGGGAAGGTTGAGAGGGCAAGGTTGACCAGCAACCCCAACCCGTTAAAAACACCACTGCTACTGAGACTTCAAAGCTCCAGAAGCCTGAAGTTCTATGTTCCCCCATCGGAACGTAAAGGAATACAATAAATCAAAAATATATAATCAATAAATAATGGGGAATACAAATAATAACATCAGACACATTGATAAAATTTGGTATTGTAAGTCTTTTACAAAAAGTTATAAAAAGAGAAATACTCCAAATTGCTGTTCACAGTTTGTCATATTCATCAAACACCGTCTATTAAGCATCAGAAAAGTTCGTTACCTCTAAAAATTTCAACATGCAACAAAAAAAACTAAAAACCTATGCCAGTTTCAACGCAAGTGGTATAAAACAGTCGAAGTCGCCAGGACCTGTGGCATTCGGTTGCACAAGTAGATCACCTTTTATGGAAAAAGATTTAAATATAGAATCCTTCGAAGTGAGGACAGGAGTAAAACAAGGCTGCCTACTATCGCCAATGATTTTCCTGATTGCAGTAGATTGGATAATGCGTCAAACAGCGGGCAATGAGGAAACAGGCATAAAATGGACTCACACAAAAGAAAAACTTGAAGGATCTGGACTTCACCGATGATATATGTCTGATTTCCCACAAACTGGAAGATATGCAAGTGAAAAGCAACAAATTGGCAGAAAAAGAATCCAGAGAAGATAGAACTTCAGGTGAACATAGAGAAAACAGAGGTAATGAAGATTCCTGGACAAGAACAACAACAACAGACAACGATCAGCATAAATGGGAGGAACCTGAAAGAAACAACCTCTTTTACCTACCTAACTAGGAAGCATCATCTCAACTACAGGCGGAACTGGCGAGGATATCAAAGCAAGGATCGGGAAAGCAAGAAAAGCTTACACTACTCTCAAGTCTGTGTGGAGGTCAACAGCACTCAGCATCAAAAATAAGATCCGGATTTTCAACTCCAATGTGAAGTCAGTGCTACTTACCATATGGATCAGAGACTTGCACTGCGCGTCATAAAGAGCATCTCAAACAAACTACAGACCTTCATTAACAGTTGTCTTCGCTCAATACTACTCAAGACCAGATGGCCGGCCAGAAAAGATCAGCAACAGGGATCTCTGGGAGCGAACCAACCAAGAACCGATTGTGAAACAAATAAGCAGGAAGAAATGGAGATGGATTGGTCATACTCTGAGGAAACCATCAGGTGACATCACTAGACAGGCCATCGTTCCAGTGGAACCCGAAAGGGAAGCGGCGATTTGGTCGTCGAAGGGTGACTTGGAGGTCATGTGAAGAGGAGATGAAAGTGTGTGGGCAGACATGGAGCCAGGTGAAGGCTCTAGCAGAGAACCGAACGCAACGGAGACGCACGGCTGAAGCCCTATGTTCCTCTAGGAATTAAAGGAAATAATAATAATTACTGGGTTGACTACAGCGTATACAATAATGTTAATAGAACTATAGCAGAAAAACGTAGTTCAGTGATATCTCAAAATATCAGCTAGTAATAGGTAGAGATTACACCTTATTCGATGATAATGGCCGTGTTCAGCATAGCTTAGCGAATGTAACGTCTCCAATTGCAGCACTGCACTGGGTAGTGAACCGGCAGCAAATACCTGAAGTAAGGTTGCGAATATACCTCACTGAGGAGTATGAGTAAGTACGAAAGGCACGTCTAAGAGAATTCCTTTTAGCTACCCTCCAACCAACCATCCAGCATCTTTAATTCGTTATCTTCTAGACTTACTAAGTATGCACATGTATCATCAAATCACGTATCACAGAGCCGAAAAACAGACGTTAATTGCACTATCCAGTTAGCCATTACACTACATATAGTGAAATAGTCACTGTGAATTGTTGATATTAGATGGTTGGAGGCGGCAATCGGAAAGAAGCCCTACCTGACCTAGGTTTCGTGCTTATTGGCACTCACCAGTCACAGCAAGGTGTACCTGTAATCTTGAAGTAAGTCATATCCCTTGTGAGATTCGAACCCGCGTCACCCGGTGTGCTGCAATCAAAGACGTTACCACTGAGGTATTCCGATTCGTGACCGACCAATACAGTTCTACAGGAGGTAAGTCGCGAGCCCGGATACCTCAATGATAAAGTCTCTGACTACAGCACACTGGGTGATGTTTGTTCAAATCTCACAAGGGATATGACTTACTTCAAGATTACAGGTACACCTTGCTGTGGCTGGTGAGTGCCAATAAGCACGAAAACTAAGTCAGGTTTAACGAAATCCCACTTCCCCTACTAACAGCTTTTAGTGCCCTACGCAGCAAAGCAAAGTCTTTCTTAAGTAATCCAGGAAAGATTAATGGGGAGCAGTAAAGAGGGATCGTTAGAATACAAGAGTTGACAAACTGAGAAAGCAAAGACTGCTTTATACCAGACTGCCTTAACTTCCTAACGTAGAACGTCAAGCGAAACATCTTTCTAGTAACTAGCAAGATGTGAGAGGACCAGGAAAGATCGGAGGAAATCCTCAGTCCAAGGTATTTGACATTAGAGGTAGTTTCAATCTCTATGCCATCAATGATAGTGGGACCATGTGAGCTAGCTAGTTGTTGTAGGTCACGTTTTCGTCTGAAAGTGAAATTTACTACCTGATATTTAGACGGATTCAGCTTAGGACCGTTTGAAGAGGACCACTGACTAATTTCCGAGAGAAAGTATGCACGGACTGGGGTTCGATCCCAGGGCCTTCCGGTTACAAGGCAAGCTCGTATTCCATTCAGCCACTGGCCCATGAATTCTAACTTCTACCAATTCGTGTTTTTAGCGCGACCATCAACTAATTTCATCGGCGGGAAATCCATCCTCATTATTGTTATTATTTCAGCAGCAACTTGCTACAATATGGGCAACACGAGATGTGCCACACAAAACAAAAACAATAAGACACAGTATAAGGAAGAGAAATGGAGTAGCTGGGGAACAGAATTATGCAAACTCGCAAGCATACTTATTCAGGGGACTTATCACCGCATGCTACTCTCAGATTACGATTCTCAGCCATATTTGATAACAACTCAAGTCAGTGATTTGGACTGTCATTCGGGGTAGCGGTGCAACAAGAGATGCTAAACTAATGACAACTATTCTCTATCCCATGACAACACGTCATGGATTGAACACCACCTGTCCGCTCCTAACCGACCGTTTAGTTAGAGTTAATTAATTAGAAATATGAAGGAGTCACATCGCTTGCAGGAAACTTTCGTCATTATTGAGTGTAGAAATGCTACAACTAATTCCCATTCCATAGTAGTTTAACTAACGAATGAACGGTAGTTAGGTAAGTGGGTAAAGTGAGACAAAAAAAAGTGTGAACTACATTTACACTAGAAATTAAAGATGTTTCATAATATCCTGTTACATTAACAACGATTTATTTACAGTTTTCCGCAAACCGTGTAAATAAAAGATTGTAGAGCACCAATATTAAGAATAAATCAGAGCAAACAATAATGGTCTGCTTAAATAACTAGGCTACCCGATTTTCTTCCCATCAGAATTTCTCTCATTTACTCTATTTTATTTTATTTTAATTACCCAATTACATCTCTGAGTTGCAGTTTATACTCAAGCCCGTTTTCTACTTAGCAAGAGACCTAGGAACAGAGTCAAATACAGATGTGTAATCAAGGGAGGCACACCGAACATATTTGGCTCCTCTATCTAAACTAGAGACTATATTATGATGTAGAACAACAGCGGCATCTAAGGTACTCCTACTATGTTTATAGGCAAACTGGTTGGGGTCATTAAAAGGCTTTAAAGAGGGTTCAAGATTAAGTAAAATAAGTCTTTCCATAACTTTTAAAAAAGGTGAGGTAATAGCAATCGGTCGAAACTTAACAGTAGGTCCACTTGTTGATTTAGGTACTGGAACAACCTAGATATTTTTCCATGAGTCCGGAATAATACTTTGGGAAAAGGATTCATTGAAAATGTCGGTTAATGGGTAACATAAGATGTCAGCACACTTCTTAAGGATAACAGCAGGAACTCCATCAGGACCAAGGGACTGGGTAGGTTTGAGAGATTGAAGACAATTAAGGACATCGTTCGTGTTAAAACACGAGAAGCAGTCATTATTTATACTATTAGATTTGGGAATCATAACATCTGCAGGGATACATATGAAGGATTTATTAAGCATATCAACATCAACATGTGTATACATACCAGATCATTTCTTTCTTCTTTAATTTTCTCAAGCGTTTCTTCCAGTTCTAAATTACGTTGTGTCAACTGACTGACCATTGTATCAATGCCGAGGTAAGCATCCACTTGTTCTTTTAATTCAATAATTTGTTCAACACTATCTTTTAAACTTTTTGTTAATCGTTCTTTTTCTGTTTGAAGTTGACTAACTTCTGATTCTAAAGATGTAATCTTTAAAATACAAATAAACAAAATTAAATATTCAGTTTAAAGTTTGGTATTTCAAATTCTCATAAAAAGTAGGTAAATACAATGTGATAGTGTAGATTTCGTCGTGAACCAACATCAGTTAGGGAAATATTCAAAATCAAGGAGCTCCAGACAACTGTTTCGTACTTGATTAGAACTCTTCAGCAATACGCACTCACGTCCCCAACGGAGGTCGAATTCAGGACCTTCATGTCACAAGGCTGATTGCGTTGACTATTTAGCATGCTGCTGAAGAACCACAAGTTGGGACAAAACCACTGTCTAGTGTTCTATGGTTTTTGATAATTTCTTTAACTGATATTGGATTGAGACGAAATATGCAGTAAAATTAATCCAAATCCCTACAACGAAATTCCCACAATCTCAATACGATATCAGACGTCAGTGACTGTGATGTCTGTTTCAAGCTATTTAATATTACAAAATAGCATAGAAGTGAGCTGAATTAGTATAAATGAATATACAGATAAAGCTGACTAACTTACTGATCTCAACATAGAACTTTGCACACATATGAGGCAGTTCCAGTTGAATTAAATAATTAATATGACCCATTGCACAAGAGGTGGCCCTCTTGGCCTAAGTGGTCTAGTGGATAACGCTTTGGCGTTTGAAGCTATGGGCACTGCGTCCCAGCCTCAGTGGGGACATCATCACTCACTGCGGAATACAGCTAGATCCAATTGACGAGTCCCAAATAGGCCGAAATGCGCATCCTGGATTCTATTGCTAGTCACCATCCACCAATTAGCTTCTATTTTCTGACTGTATAGTTCATTGTGATGGTGAAAACCTTACTACTACCATTAGTCGTCTAGTTTAAAGAAAGCAATAAGAGTGAACTGATCTAACTGGCCGTTACAGATATAATAGACAATAACAATAAATCAGCGATAAATGGCGGTTAAATGCACCAAGTACAACCAAAGAATCTCAGCTAATCTAACCTTCTCGAAATACCTTACTAATAGACACATTTTCATAGAGTTTACACGGGCGTCCTACTAACAGTGGTGGCACAGTGGTTAGGACTCTCGCCGACTATGCACATGGTCCGGGGTTCGATCCCCTGCCGGCGCACACCCGATATCTATGGTCGGCCTGAATTTGGGCTACCGATATCCATGCTGAAAATTCCACACTTATACTGAAAATACGGTGTGGAATCAAGCTGTAAATCAAAATAAAAAAATAAAAATAAAACAGCATTATTATGTGGAAGAAATTTTGCCACAAAAATGAAGGCTTGGTGAATACGGGGTACCATGTGACGAGTTTGAAACGCCTTGATTCCAGACAGAATGTGTACAGGTAAAAATAGCTTACAGATTTGACTTAGTTACCAAAATTAAGATAAAATGCATCATGACATTGCTTTGCTTATTTTCGAATTGGACTTTAGGTCACAGATTTGGACTGTCCCCATAACATTTTGAGCTTCACAAAAATCGTAAGACAACAGAGGTAAATAACTCTTATCACATCATTCATCACTTCCATTTGCTCGACCATTCACTTTTAGGCTTTATTTTCCCACTCAGACAAACTGTTATCTCAGACTTAACTGTAAACTTTGATATTGTCTATGAGTGAGTTGATGTTAAAAGAAGAGTTGGAAGAATAAACGAAATTCAAAACACAGTTAAAGCCAATATGCGAAGAATTCACAATACTCAGCTATACAGCTCCATTAATATTTATAACTATTGGTAGCCTGTTTAGTCTTCTTAAAAAGTAGACTTGATTGGTGTACAAAATATTAATAAGTTTAGAAATATTGAATTGGTAAGTTGAGTGCATTCACTACTTATCTCATAAGTTAGAAAAACCTTTACTATGATAACAGTGACTAGCAGAGGAATGTAGGATGAGCACCTCGTCCTATTTGAGATTCATCATCTGGACGTACGTATGCTGGTGTTCCACTCAGACTAGAACCCTGCACCCGATGCGCTTTGATAAGAAGCTTGTACTGAAGATGTTGTTCGGAAGGAACATGAAAGTTTCGCAGTTTTAAAATCATCCAGCTCAAAGAACGCAAGAACATCAAAATTACAACTTTACCTTCATCGAGTTTCTTTCTTTGCTCACTGCATCATACATAAAAATTATTAAGCAGGAATTTACCTGTTTAGTTAAAGCTGAAATTTCCGATTTATCTTGATTAACCAAATCACGTAGCTTGACCAGTGCTCCTTTCATTCGTTCATTTTGTTGTTCAAGATTTTTAAACTGTAAGAGAGTTGGACCGCCTTCAACACCGACTGATACTTCACCGGGTATTTTCCACAAGAAAGAGAAAGAGAGATAACAACGTAGAATCCAATAAGTAACTAGGAACGCAATGTCCAGTAATTTATCTCCTTAAGTAAGAGAAAAATGTTGGCGAATTTCTAGACAAGAAAACGCAGTCGCCCTTGATGTAGGAACAGAGTATAATTCCATATCATGGGATCATTTCATTCGATAAAATAACTCGACGTAGGATTCATAACAAGGCAGGAATTAGGGTGGAATTTAAACCTACAAAGTAACTCAGAGATTAAGGGACCCTATTAGACAAAACTATTTAATCAATATAATGACCTGCAGTGACTGTGAGATCAACTACAACTATAAGACCAGTTGTTTGGTCAGATTATTGGAGCATACGAATTTAGCTTATTGTGAAATGATGGACTTCACAAAAATGAAAATCACACAATACAATGGGGAGAGAGCTACAGTTCTAAAAAGTAATATAAATAGGTGGAGAGAGAAATCGAGCATTGAATTTTTCTTCATTTAATCTATAGGTAACACATGAGTAGGAATAACGTAACGCTGGTATACTGGAGATATGGATAAGAAATAATAGAATTACATAAACGAAGTTTAAAAGTTATGTGAGTGCCTTGATATAGTTGTAAGCAATAAATTGTTGTCGAAACGTCATCAGTAAAAAATGTTGCATCACTGTTTTTCTCCCCAAATAAAATTATTCTATAAAGGGACAGAGTGACCTTTTATATTTTTACATATTCTTCTTTACCAGTCGGTAAATCTTTATCCTCAGAATTGAAAAATGAGTTTTGAGTAATGTCACGCACTGACAGTATTAGCTTATTTACGTGATTCCCTGCCGATAAATCTGACACGAATTGATCAGCTTCAGTTTGGTATACAGCTACAATTAACGACCTGGTACGGTCGACGGTGGGTAGACTTCAGTCTTCCTCTAGAAGTCGTCTCATGTGCTTACGCGTTTATAGCCTTTGATCACGTAATTCATGTTTACTACCTTTAAGCTGCCTGGTTGAGAGGGCGAATCCGGACATCTGGCGCTAACAACTGGACTGATGAACTCATTCAGTAGATGCCTAAATACTACCTTGAAGTATATAAAATGACTTCTCAAAATACATGAACAACAAGTATGGAGATAGTTACCACAATAGCTCCTGAAAAATAATGAGCACAATGTCAGTTGACAGTTCTGCGATTAGAGTAAAGCCGATAACACTGAAGAAAAAAAGTGAAATGTTTATCGAAGTTATAAATGACTGATAATAGAATACGATGAAATTGTTATCACGATATGCCTGTGTCTCTACCTTAGTTGATTGACTTGTTTCGCAACCTGTGAGCTAACGTGGTTAATAGCATCTTATAGAAAGTTCAGATGGGTGGTTAGATCACATTCTGTGAGGTGTTAAACGAGAATTTTTAAGAGCTAAGATATCAATGGAAACACTGCTGTGTAAATCACTTGACTAGTACAATTTCCTTTTCAGTAGTTTATCCCAACTATAGTAGAAACTTTTCGAAGAGGCTTCAGATGCGTTCGCTCCATACTGCAGATTAAATGACAAGTAAGGATAAGCAAGCTACCAGGAGCTCCGGCACGAAAAACCACCCAACAAATATTCAGAGGAAAACATAAACGCATTGGACATAGGCTGAGAAAACTATCGAGTGACACATCACGTGCCAGACCCTCGAGTGAGATTCAAACAACAATCGATGAGTTGGGCACATGAGAGTGACATGAAGGAGGCCGTGTGAAGTGGAGATGAAAGTTATGAGCAATCGTGGGGCCAGCTACGACAGGCCGAAGGCGACAGGATGAAATATCGATCGATGTGTTGCTGAAGCAATATGTTCCACTAGGAACCCTAATGAATAATAATAACATATACAATAGAAACGATTTTAAAATAACCTTGAAACAACTTAAATCATTACTACTAACCTTTTTCTTCAAATTCTTCTTTCAAGATTTGATTCTCAAGAGTTAATTCTTCTACTTGTTCCTTAAGTAATTCAATTTCTCCAGTCAATCTTTCTAGTTTTTCTTCGGTCATTTCTTTATCTAAAGTGATCATTTCTATATTTTCAACCATTTCAGATACTTCTTCACGATAACGATCAAATGCTTCTTTGACTTCAGCTTTTTCCTCAATAGAGATTAATAATAAACACATTAGTGAACCAGGTTTTCAATGAAAATAGCCAGAGATGTATTTAGAAACTAAGGAGAGCTAACAGAGCGAGTATTTTCTAGCTTGGCACTTTTTACTAATGCAAACACATGACTGCATGGAGCAATGAGCTCAGGATCATTGAGTTACAAGATGCGAGTGTTATCATTGAACCAAACGGTTAGCATGCAATCTTTGAACTCAGTTCCTGGAAGGGGTGTTTCATATTCCAGGGATTATGAGTGACACTTATTGTGTAAGGGTTAATGATACTGCCCAGCTACCCGCTCTAGGTAGGCACAGTGGGATTCGAACCCGAGGCCCACTGGTCAAAAGTCAAGTGCTTAAATCAATGAGCTAAGTTTGTCTTGCATGTCCTCAATTCATTAGCAGAAGAAATCAGTGCAAAACTTATGAGAGTAATTCACTCTGGAGAAGTTATTACTTTTAAAAGCAGTTACTTCCTTTCATGAATATCGACAACAACAAAAAAAAATAAGACGCAGTTTGTTCTATCTGAAACATGTAATGCATTCACGTAACACATTTCGGACATTCTGATCACACGGCCTCCTTGTCAATACATATTTATATCAAAAACTAACTGACCATAAAGGCTCAAAACTCTACCAATTAGTCAAGGAGTCATGACCACAGATATGAGGTAGAAGAATCATACACACACACACACAAAACACGTTAACTTTTTGATGGTTGGTATGTATTAAATGGCAGTAAAAAGATCACCAGTTTCTGCACATCACTCTGTGAGCAAGTAAACGGACAAAATTCACATTGGTAGAAGTGTTTCCACTATATTATTAGTATTCGCTATCTGCAAAATGTGATTACTAGCACTACTCTTTTTGACGTCAACTTTGTCATTACATACAGAGTGGGTAGACATAGGTCCCATAGATTGTACAATTGCGAAATTACACTAATCTATTATTAACATGGGTCGTGGATGAGAAATAGTACGAAAACAAAGTGCAGTGGCTATTTGTGGTTCTATAACTGAGAACCATCTTTTTTTTAAACTGGAACTGGGAACAGTCAAAACTCAAGTGTTAGCAGTCAACAACTTCATGTTGCATCATCAATAGCTTACTCCATATAGGGTCATTTTCAGGTTATCAATCGATTTTGATTAGTTATCGCCATCGATTGAGAATATATTATCTCCTTACAGTTAGTCAACTAAGAGAGTTCACAAACTTTTCGTTCATACAATTTTATGATTTATTTACAGAGGTTTCAATTTTTAAAAGAAACATCTCCCAGTATAGCTAAGTAAAGGTGTAGTGAAAACCATCAACAGTTCGATATTTGATCATCTGGTCCAAACCAGCCACAAAGCCAGCATTGAAGAATCCTTCTCTATCATCTACCGTGTGCCAAATAAATTGCCGAAAACAGCGAAGTACCACATGCTCCAAACAGCAGAGGCTATTTCAATTCGCCTCAAATAACCAGTGCTTTGTGTGCAAAAGAAGCAAGTCCAGCCACTACTATTGCCCCGGCCTTTAGTGGAGATTATAAATCCATGAATTTGTATTATTATCTTTACTAATTTTTCTGACATTTAGTTTATTGTTATATTGATGCTATTTAACTATAATCTATTGATATTCGTGGTTTTTTAAACATTAATGTTGTTCACAACACTAATTTATTCATTCACTATAATGTATATATAACTGCAGAGCCTGATGATGAAGTTATCGAGAAGAGTATTCTTTGTTCAGTATCCATTCTTTGGAAACAGTAATGATAGTGACTTCAAAAGAATAATTTAAGCTCCAAGTACAGTTCACCAACCCAACAAAATTTTTAAAATCAATATAAGGAAGAAAACCTACTGTTTTTAATTGAGCACTTTCACGTTGTAATTCAGCTGCTTGTTGTCGGATTCGACGTCGATTCTCTTCAACTTGTGAAAGCTGAATTTTAACACGTTCTAATTCTTGTATTCTATTTTTATCTTCTTCCCGTTTAGCTTTTAAAGCATCAATTTGTTCACGAAATTCGATTACTTCAGCACGTAGATTTGCCAGTTCCAACTCTGTGTCTGGGATGTACTTACCAGTACCACTTGGAACAGCTGATACAGATGTTTTTGGTATTTTTTGAGACGTATCTCTAAGTTCACTTGGTGCATTTTCAGAATCCACCTTCTGCGCAGCCGCTTTTACATTACTAAGTGCTGCTGTAGTTTGTGAGATCTCTGAAGGATTTATTGGCATTTTAATACCAGTAGGGATAGGCGGTGTTGATGTAGTAGTGGTAGTAGAAGTGGGGAGTTTACTCCCACTTATCATCTTACGAGTCGGACTATCCGATTTTGAAATTTGTGTGTAAGATTTACTCATTATGTCACTGGACTTCATAACATCTGCTGCAACAGGTTTATCCGCAGAAGGCTTACTAGAAGGACTTTCAATTTTTGCAGAGGCAGCTTCAGGTTTTAAAGCTGTTGATGTTGGAGCTGGACTACTTCGTACAAGGTCTGGATTAGATCCAGTTGGTGGAAGCTATAAAAGTGAAGAAAAAATGAGTAAAAGTATGGAAAGTGATGGTTTGACATGCGCTGCTTCAAAAAGGAATTGGCGCTCAAAACAACGCCTACACTGACACCTCAAGTGATATGACTGAAGGATTAGTGCGGAACACTGCACAACACTTCATTAGTTCATGGTGCTACACTTCAAAGCACCACATAGAAACTCCAATGCTGAGTGCAAAAATTTACCACCAAGAAGAGAAGCAGATATACCTTTTGTAATTTAGCAAAACACGAGATAACAGAATAAACTGGTACTCATAACGTGCAACACACTAGGTGGTTGTGTTAAACATGTTGTTTATTTTAAATATATACAAGACCACCAAAAACTCAAGCTTAATACATGTACAGTAAAAGGAAGAGTAAAGTTTAACAACAATTTAAAGTAATCTTAGACCTTATTGTATTATAATTGCTACTCCCACGGGTTACTGGTAGAAAATTAGGCTTCACAGCAGCACAGATTCATTGCATCTTGTTCTCCGCAGTCTTTTCTTAGGTGGCTCCTCGACTGCTCATAAGCTTTCATCTTAACCTTACACGAACTCATCCATGCCATCCTCGGACAAACAACGCATCTTTCGCTTCCCATTCATGTTTTACTCGAGTGCTTGGAGCATGATGCCACGGTCTTCTCAGTGTATTTCTGATCCATATATATGTCCTTCTACATATTTCTACATGGGCAATAGGCTTTTGGGCAGTTGGCTGACGGAGTTCCTTGTTGCTTACCTTTCTGGTCAGCCATCTGATCCTCAGTATGGAACCAAGTCTGTCTGGTATGCTTTTGATAGTGCGCCAATTCTCTGAACCATATGGAATCACTGACTGACTTGACAATGGCATTGGAAATTCGGATCTTGTTACTTATACAGAGTTCGACGGATTCCCACACTGATTTCAAAGTAATGAAGGCCTGTATTGCCTTTTCAACCTTGCCTTTGACATCTTCATCTTTGCTTCCCGCCTAGGTAATTGAAAGAAGTGGCTTCCTTCACACTTCCCCCATTGATGTTAGTTCGTTCTTGTTGCTGTCGATTAGGTTTCTAATCACTTCTGTTTTATCAATGTTCATTTGAAGTCCGGTCTTCACTGCCTCTTCCACTAACTTGCTGGTCTTTCGCTTGTAGATCTTCAAACTTCTGCGAAATTAGACATAAATCATCGACGAATGTCCAGATATTCCAGTGTCTTTTTTTCCCTCCAGTGTATGTCCGTCCTGTCTCTCCTCACGGACTGTCGCATAGCTCAGTCTAATATAACTAGAAAAATCGTCGGTGGCAGTAGGCTGCCTTGTCTTACTCTAGTCTTTACTTCAGAGGCTTTGCCAAGCTCCCCGTTGTGAATCAGTTGGCATGTAGCATTGTCATATAACTGTTGAATGAGGCTGATACAGGTTTGAGTTGCTGCAATCCATGGTGTCAGATCAGTTTCCAAATTACCTTGAATGTTTTTACATAGGCATTTACAAGATGAAATCCCGAAAGCTTGAACATTATCAACAAGGAATCTGAACTATTGAAGAATTGATAATTCTAGAAGAAACATAAACTTTATTAAAAACCTGTTTGTCTCATTCATTTTTAGATACGCTATACTGTAAGATGATTTATCTATATTTGATATTATAGACATGGTTTTCAGTGTAGAACACACTGGAAGCTGCAATTCGCTTAAAACCTTAAAATTAACCATTTTATTTATTTATTTATTTAATTATAGCTTCATTCCACACAGTATTTTGGTACAAGTACGGAATTCTCCGCATATGATATCGGTAGTTCAAATTTAGCCGGCCGAGACCATTGATATCAGGTGGGCGTCGGTTGGGGATCGAACCCCGGACCATATGCATGGTCGGCGAGCGTCATAACTGCTGTGCCACCGACACCCTGAATAATCACTTAGAATGAAACACAAGATGATGAGATCTAGTGAACTCCAACAGTTCTGCAGCAACTGTTGATTTGTGCAGTTTACGTCCATTTATCACTTAAAACAGAAAAAGGTTTAGTAAACTAAGGTATTAATAAATTTATAACAAATGATTCAGCGAAGAGACTCTTTTCAACGAATTTATCATCAAGCTGTACAATCGTATATATATGGTTTTTAAGAAGTTATATCCGGTGAGGGAATTGAAACATAGGTGTGAATGCATGAAATAATAATAATATGAAGTGCAATTAAAACTAAAATGTGAGTTATCAACCGTACCCAAGAAGATACTTTACATGAGCTTGGAATTCAAAGGGGACTTAGCTTCCGATATCATGAAACGGAGGATATCACAATCCCTGAAAAGAACATTCCCTGCTGCATCCCTGAGAATAGCCTTTTCTAGTCGACCATTATTGTTCAATAACCTGAAGGACAAAATCCCGCTGTCGACCAACTCTATGTGTGTTTA